ACTTGGGAGCATTTTTCCCCACATACAAGTACCTCCTCCACTAACTAACTGCTCAAGTCAAATACAAGACATAGAGTGACAACAGCCTCACTGAGGGAAAAATCCTGCAACAAACGCCTGCATTTAAAAAACAGACCAGGGTAATGATGAAGGGAAGATACAATGAAGCACAGGAACGCAAAGATTCGGTGGTGTCCGTTCATTTCCAAGGCACCAGCTGGCAATGCATTGGCCAGTAAAAAATTCTTCATGAAATGTGGAAAACAGAGTGCCCTGAGTCTCCAAAACCTTGCAGAAATCAGCATTTGTAAGTAACACCGTCCAAAATGCTAAAGAATTTGTTTTCTTCTAAGACAAGGCACAAAAAATGCACCACATTGCTAGGCGCTGAACTCCTTGCAACGCGCAGCCTCGCTGCATGGATGGTGCCAATTGCCAAAGGGTACATTAGACCAACTGACATCGTGGACTGAATGACAGGCCTGACTTGCACAGTTGCTCGCTCAGAGAAGTCTTCAGAGCCTTGCAGCAGACCACATAAGACTTCAGGGAACATGTGCAACCTAACAAGAGGACTGAACAACTGCAGCCAACAGACAATAATGTGGCCTGCCCCACACATTTATTCTTTCTTTCTCAGAATGCTTGTGATATCCAAGCACCCCCACCTACAGAGCATGGCCCTTTTTTTCCAAGATGTCTGGCGCTTATCAAAAACATTGACAAGGACACGAGCACTTGGTCGCCTTGGCACTCACTGGCAAAGGCAAACAGAATTAAGCTGCACTCCTAACATTCAGAGGAACCATTCACAAAACTGGAGGAGGTTGCCGAGTGGCTTGCGCCAAGCATCCCGACACTTGGACCAGCAACGCAACCTAAATTTAGCAGCACCTGCTTCCCACGTGAATATGCCACACAGCAGTTGCGCACCCCACCCACCCCCACAAAAGCGGAATGCTGGGCCTATCTACCCATCAGCGCCCTGCAAATGGCTGAGAATAGTTGCAACAAGTGAAGGCCACCTGTACTTATCGACTTGACAGCAGAAAAGCTGAGCAAGACGCTTGCTCTTGCGCGGGCACGACTATTTTTGTTGACCAAAAAAGTATAAGTAGAGCTCTGTAAGCTGGACACAGCGTCAGCGTGATTTCAGGAAAATCCCCAACAGTCAGCGCTGACACCAACAGTGGGTCCCACCAATGGTGACCAAAGGAGATCAGAACAAGCCATGCCTGGCAAGACCCTCCATGATTCCGTCAGCATAGATGGCGTCTGTTAAGAGCACCTTACCAGTCTGCGCGCAGGAGACAAATGTGACAGACATGCTCGAATCTGTGTGTGGGACAAAGACACTGCAACACAGCAGAACGCTTACATGAATCACTGAACCACAAGAAATTCTCGCCCCCAGGTAGAGTTTCCACCTGCTCTTGCGCAGCTGGGCAATCTGCAGAGTATGCAGTCATAATCTGGAACTGGCAACACCAGTACAAAGCAACCTAGCAGCCTTTCATGACCCAATACCGGGGCCTGCATGAAATGCAACAACAAAAGAGGTCCACGTTCGCCAAGGACGTAATGCTCACGAGCATGCCTTAGAAAAGGTGGATACATGCCGCATCAAGGGTGCTCACTAGCATCTCCAACGTGGCATGTATCCACCTTTTTTAAGGCAAGCAGTGACAGTCAAGACGAGGAGTGCAGTGGAATGGCTTCAACATGATGATGCAAGACCACCAAGAAGCAAGGAGACAGTGATACACAGCAGGGAGCAGCAGGAAGCAGCAGGGAGCAAGG